TGAATAATGCACATTGAAGATTGTAGGAAACTTTACTGTCGTGTTCTTTTCCGAACATTGAAAGCTTCAACTGAGTTCGTAACAGCGCTTACCGATAAGGTTCGGTTCCGCTTAATAAAAACTTTCAGAAAGTTGTTAATAGTCTGATGTTCTGCCTGAAGGTTCTAAGTTTCTGGAACAGCTGGCTTATTAATTGAACTCTAGTTATTATTGAAAAAAACGTAGAAATTTGTAAATGTTTTTTTTGGTTTCAGATCCTTATGTAAAAGTCTATTTAATTTGGAAAGGCCGGAAAATGAAGAAGAAGAAAACAACAGTTCGTCACAATACGCTGTATCCAGTTTACAATGAGGCTTTGGTTTTTGATGTTCCAGAAGATAATATTGGAGAAGTTTCTCTTCTGGTGAAAGTTATCGATTATGATAGGTGAACTTAAAAACTTATTTTTTCGCTTCAAATTCTATTTTTTTTTTAATTTTAAATTTTATTTTTTTTAGGCGAAATCTTAAGTTGAAGCTCGCAGAGTTTATTTCGGCACCTTTGTTACTGTTCGATAGTTTGTTTTCCGTTTTTTGAGAATCGCGCGCGAGTATTTCTCAAGTCATTGTTACTTATGAGTGTTTTTCTACTAAGTTTAAATCCATGTAATTTCTAAGACAGTTGTAACACTTTCAAGAATAGGTACACAAGTGCTCTACTGTAGTATACATATGCATACATATTCAAGGTGATTCACAACTTTATGGTTACAGAGCAGGGTGTTTTGTTCACATTTTTTTGTGAAAGCTTGAAGTGCAAGTTGAAGTTAAAATAGGGATGGCTGACGAGTTAACTTAATTTTTTTTTTACTTTAATTTAATTTCTCAGTAATTGAGGTTTATCGGCTGTAAGCCAATTCAAATAAAAATACACAAAAATGTAACGAATATTTCAATTTATTATGAAATTAATTTATTTCGCAAAAAAATGTGAACAAAAAGACATAAAAAAATTATAAGAAAATTCATGGAAAATCACCCCCTACATGGACTTATAATTGCTGCAAATAACTCGAAAATGAAAACAGATATGAAAAACTGCAAGAGATCAGAAAATTCTTAAATTGAACAAAAAATTCAATAATTTGTTCGCTAGAAGTCAGTGGTGCACCGCAAAAAAGTTCCGGGAGGGGGGGGGGTAAAAGAGAGTAGGTGTCTAAAAAAAGAACACTCTGTAGATTTGCACAACAAGTTGGCTTACCTATGGGTAAAGGGTCTAAACATTAGCCTACGTTAAAAATTTGAGCAAAATATCTCATAAACTGTAGGAGTTAAAGAGAAAATACCAACATTTTTTTGAAACTTTAACCTTGTATCTTGTTAACGATGGGCCTGAGAAAAAAACTTAAATGAAAACTGGACTTGTTTTGGGGTTCTCTACACGCCCCTGCTCTTTGTCCATAAGGTTGTGAATCACCCTGTATATTTTTATACAATTTCAATTTATTTTCTTTTAACTTACTATCGATGTCATGACTCGCTTTCATCGTGCGGAAAATTCGAATTTTTAGAAAATATATAATTAAATCGTAGAAGTTCGTCTTTCCATTGTATTTATGTTACATCCCAGAAAGACATTTCGATGAAACTGACGATAAAGAGGTTTTACGCTAAATATAATTTTATCATTCTTTGCCCAAGTTGTTTCTATAAAGCATACCAAAGGGAATACTTTTTACAAAGTAAATCCAGAAACAACAAACGGAGATCATCTGTTCCCTTCTTTACCTCTAGCTCATAAGGAAAATTCTTTTGAAGCGCTTTGAGTGAAACCCAAATACTCAATTATATTCTAACAAAAAGATACTGTGTCTTCTGGATCGTCGGCTCTTCGGGATCGTTGAGTGTTATCTTTAATAATGTGCCCACTGTATCTATTTCTCCTGTAACCTTTTTCGGCTTAACTATTTACTTTCATTACTTCGATAGAATCGGCCAAAATGAAATTATGGGGTGCTTTACAATCGGCCCCACCGACCCAGGAAAGGGTCGCGATCACTGGCTGGAAATGCTCTCGAATCCACGCAAACCCATCGCTCAATGGTACTCGCTTTTGGAAACCGTACCATTTGATCTTCACAATCAGAAGGAGGCTCCCATGTTACTAACATGTCTAAAGAGCAGGTAATTATGTTTTTTTACTTTCAGTTTTTCTTCATCAGTCGGCCTTACTTTTTTAGTTCCTTTCTGCGGTATTCTCCACATATAAATGATTAGTATTTTTTCTGGCTAATTTTTGAGGAGGGTGTTTTGATTGGATCTTTGATTCACAGAATCCTATATTCTTCATTTTATTTCAGGTGAGATACAATTACATAACAGAGCGAGCAAAACAGTTGGTTTAAATGTTGGTGCTGAAATACGGAAAGGCGGAAGCGTAAGTAAATTAGAAACCGGAATTTGCGGCTATCCAAGTTTGGATGTAGCATGTGTTTGTACTGATGCCGAAGAAATTAGTAGTTAGTGTCTAACAACTATAGAATAATCAGACAAGGAATAAAAGTCCATGGAGGAAAGTTAAAGGCATTATTTAATTGCTGTCTTTACTAGATGATTGTTGTGTACAGAATTCTTGTTGCTGCGTAGCTCATTAAGGTTGTGGACTCTCGATCATTTTTTGATCGATCAGTTTGTGAAATATTATTACAAAACATATATATTCATCGTTAACGTATTTACTACCTGGCAATGGAACCTCTATAGAATAATGTAATTTACATTCGTTTTTCACTCGAAAGAATATTCTACATAATCAAATAGCTTCTGTTAGAACCTTCAATTGTGTCTGATAATAACGTTCTCAAGCATCTACTGCTGGTGATGAGTAAATATAGTGTTAAGAAAATTGTTAATGGAAATTGAAGATTTATATTTTCCACTCTTGGACAAACTTTATATACTTTTACTCCTGGTAATAAACCAAACTGTATGTTAGTTTGACTGTCTAAATAAGTATCTACTTGAAACGGTTTTTCAAACCAGAAACTCAGGATAAGACTTTTTTTTTACAAAACGAACATCAAAACAATTTATATCTATTAACTAGTAACAACAACAGAAAATGGGGAAGTTGACAGAGAAGATGAAGATTATTATTCATTTTGGGCTTAAACAGGATGTCTCCGAAATGGCACTTTGCAAGTTCTAGAACTGAAAACAAGTATTTTTTTATTGTATGGAAATACTGAAAATGTCGTTCCTTGATGCGGCAATAAAACCTTGTATTTTTATTACTCCCAGTACAAATTATTTTGATCCCGTAACTAGCTGGATACTTTTTTGTCTCCAGTAAAAAAAATTAAAAAATGAGACTTTGAAATTAATATTTGGAGCTAAGTCTTAACTAGAATACATAAAAAAGTACGTAAGGTGTCGTTACTATCTTTTTACAGGGAGTACAGAGAGAGAAACTTATACGCGGCGAAAAAGTTTTCAAATAAAGCCAGCCAGTTGTAGACAAAAAATTTGGTCACTTGATCCAGGGACAAGAAAAATATAAAATTCCGTTTAGCAGTACGAAATATTTTTTATTGTTGCACGAATGAAATCGCCTTTTGGTCCAAACACGCTAAATGGTGTACTAATTCCTAGCAACATTACAAATAAGTATGTGTAGATTGCGTTGTTTTTGGTTAAAGAATTGATGGTTAAGCGTCATTTCAGAGACACTCTGTATAGTGTAATCTTCACATTGTTTTTCCTAAAATCAACCGTTAAATGTTGAGGCCATTTTGTCTTTCTCTAGCAACAAAGGGTTGTGTGATAGGCCAATTATATTTTTATACGCTGCCATACATTTCTTCTGTCGAAGATTCACTTCTATAGCTTCACTTTCTATATGTGTTTTCTATACATATAGGTAATCGTTATATAATAATAGCTAGCTCACATATCGAATAAATGTATCGTATTTTTGTATATCCAGTTATATAAAATAGTAATTTGCTATCTACTGAAAAGCTGAAAAATATTTTGGATTGTATTATTCACTACCCATAACATTGTACAAATATTTCAGGAATAAAATATGCAACATTCATATTCCAGTCTAAATATTTGGCGTTGGAAAGGCTTTATATAAGTATATTTTTAATTACCTAGACTTCTATGTTACAAATTTTTAAATTCTATTTCAAACTCCCACTTTTGTATTATGCTCTATCCGTGTTTACTAAAAATAGTATTAAGGCTAAAATATACTAAACTCCCACAATATAAGATGACTGCGTATGTTAAGTTAGTGTTAGTTAAAAAGAATATCATAAACATTTAAATGTGTAGTTTGATACAGAGTAGTCGTTCCATAATAAAGATTTTGTAAAAGTAAAATCACGTAATTTTTTTCCGCCTCACTTTTCAGATTTTGCTTGCGGATTTTCCCATGTTTTCCCGACTTTTTACTTGAGTTATTGAACAGTTTTTTTTATGACACAAGAGCCTCTTCTCATACCGGGTGTTTAAAAAAGCTGACATTTTTTACACAATAATTGCTTACATTCTTCGATGTATTTCCAGATATTATTTAGCTAGTGCACGCTGCAGCAATAAAAGAGATGAGAGATAAGATCGCATCATTTTTTTTAAGCGAACACCACCCTGTAGATGTTATCAGCCATGACAAATATTGCGTCAAAAAACAGCTGCCAGTGTCAAAATTTCTAAATTCTTGTCACAAAAACGAAAAAAATCCATTAAAAAAACCTTGTCGCTCATCACAGTAAGTAACTTAAACGAAATTTTAAGCAGTAATTTAACAGAATATGAGTTTGAGCTATGTACTGGAATGTGGCGAATCACTCTATGAGAATCTCATGCAAAAATTGTATCAGGTAAGTGGAAACACTTTTTTTAAGTACAGTCTAAAGGGACTAATTTCGGCAAAACCATTTCAGTTAATTTTCAGGCCGATTTAAACAAAAAAACCAATTTCCTGACAAGCTCCTTAAAGTAGGTGTACTCAAATTTGTCCACTAAAATACTTGAAAATTGTAGTTAAGTTTATGTTAAAGCCTTTCGAGCTAGGTTGCCACATATCTGCAAACTGTGATTTGCACAAAAGATAAACACCAAACCATATTCATCTGATACTTTTCGCCCAGAGACTTGTCTCTGTTTTCGCCAGTGTCAACATCAGCTGGGGACTGTCGTCACCACTGTCGTCATTTCGTATACGTTCAACAAAAATAATATACAAAATTTTCGAAAAATATGTGAAAAATCTATAGTAAATCCTTTTGGGTGAGTGAACACATTTTTGACAATGATGAAGAAAAAGTATTCCAAGACCAAGTATCAGCAATTACCGCTGTATTCATACAAAGATGTGTCTCACTTGACTATTCATCGGAATTCGGTAAGCAAATTTTCGTCTTCGGAGCCTTATCTTTAGTTGAATAAACATTTTCGCTTCACCTTGTTGCCTGTCTGTGTCGTCTTTGTAAGCGCTAAGGTGATTTTAGCTACTTCCGTACATTATCGTTTCGTTCTGCAGTTATCATTAACAAATCTAATCAATACTTATGGTACTTGTTTCATTTAAGTCTAATCCATATACAACAGAATCAATTGATTTTGCATTTGTTGTTATTTATGAATATTAATGTGGTCTATATGCGTGGATTTTTTCAAATGACTTAAATTGGAAATTTAGCAGCTTTAGAAGAAAGTTACATTCATATTTGATTCTAGGTTACAAGAACACAACTATTAATAATTAGAACGGAAAATCGGCATTATTATGTTTGGCTACAGTGAATTGTTTGAAATCTTAAAAAATATCTTAATGACATGTTAAGAATAACTAGAGCCATTTAAATGAAAACCAAGTTTACGGATTGCTTACTAGCTTCATATTTTACATGCCTTGTGAAAAAATTGGCGCTAACAAATCCTTGGAATATTCATAGAGAGTATTTCAAGTGCAAATTGACATTCCTAGTTAAATGATTTTACCACTATAAGTTCGATTACGTGGTGATTTCTTGGTGAATAACTAGATAGTATTTGCATAGTAGGTACCATTATTTCAGTTACTCAATTGCAAGCTTTTTAGTTGGTTCAGGCTTCATCTAAGTGAACTTTTTTGGTATGCTGCAATTAAAACAAATTTTACCAGAAATAGTATGCGGTTTAACTTTATCATATCAACTTGGATTTTAAATATCTATAAGCGATTATATTTTATGGGTTTTATCAAAGTATCACAAACATTTTTCAAATTTTTTGTTTGATTGTGGATAAATACGTAATAGGGTTTAAGAAAGTAAAAATGTTTTGATTTTTATGTGGAATAATTGAAAACTGTATTTAAGATATACGTGTTGCATTCGCCATTATGACAATATAAACCGAACATTCATGATTCATGTTAATTTTATGGAGTTTCATGCAACTCAATTTAAAATCCATTTCGTTCTGACTGTTTCCTAATTTAAATTGCTCGAATATCTTCAAGTAAGAATGGGTTAATGATAATCAATTGTATTATTATACGGTCAACTATTGGAAACCTTTTATTGCAATCTAAATTACAAGTTTCTATTTTTAATCGTTGTGGCGGACTGAATAATGCGCCTGTAAGAAGATAAAATTCAATTTAATAGTTTTGATAAATTTAAACGCCGTCACATTACCATAAAATTTACAATTGAAAATGATAAAAACAATTTTCTATGCTTGATGATACATCATAAACACTTTGAGGATAACAGAGGCAAAACGGTATGCAAAATTTCAATTCAAAAATACACGAAAAATAAAAAAATAGTGTAGTTACAGCTCTTTTAAATAGTTAGTAAAATGGAATCAATGCAGAATCAAAAATTTACAAAATGAACCGTTCCAGCAAGCCTTTTAAGAGAATCGTCTTGATTATGATAATGTATGGTACCAAACTGGACCATATTAAAAATAATAATTTTCGAATTTAAATTCAACTGTAGAAATCGTAAGGAAGATAAATTGTAGCAAAACACTCACCCGAAAATTTATAGAATTTTCTGTTTTATGAAACTGATTATCGGTTACGGGACACAATTATAAGGAATGCAAAAAAATAAATATTCAACAAAATGAGTTTGAAAGACGTTTTTTTTTAAATTTCGGTTCCGTTACTGACAAACTTATAATGTGATATAATAATATGGTAAAAGTAACAATATTAGGGTTCTAATTGTCTGAAAATATTGCACAAACAAGACTTAAGACAAATTCATTATTAAAGCAATAGATTTTAGGTGCCCAAAAGAACAAGTCAAGTGGTGCTAGGTTTGGGTATATGGGTTGCCACATAATCGGCTCTGGTCTCGCAGTCTATTTGGATAATTATCAACGCCGTATTGAGTACAGATTTACATGTTCAGTAAATATTCAGTTAGAGAAACATTATTTTTTGTCCTTCCTAGTTTTGATGCATTTCTTCCAGCAACGGTATCGATTTCTTGTAGTTTGGCAAGTAGCGTTCGCATTATCCTTCACGAAAAGCATTGTGTTAGAAAATGTGCAGCGCACTCTTACACAAAATTGTAACATTTATTGCGAATATTAATATCTACTTGATTTATCTCAGTACAAAACTCACATAATATGCTTGACGTAAATCATGACTACTGGAACGACTGGAACCGAGTTCAATCAAAATTTTCACGTCAGGAAAGGTTTATTAATAATTGCGATAATTGTTTTCAAAAGTGTTCAGTAGGTTCAATAGAGCACAAACAATATTACGCACCATAAGCAATGATATCTATATTTCAATACCATACAATTGGATTAATTATAATTTTATATTTATTCATGGGTTTCACCTCGAAAATGTTAAATCAAAAATTCAGTCTGCTCAGTTGATGAAGAAAATCGGCCATTTCATGCTAATTTTTTGCATTAATTTCTTTACGCTTCAGTAATATTCGTAGGACATCTCAACTTGTTAGTTTCGAATATTTGATCGATGTAAATATTATTCTGCGCATTGAATAGTGTAAAAAATGTATCATAATAGTAAAGGGAATCGCTGAATGAATTGAATAGTTGGGTAGCTACTGCTTGTAAAAACTGAATCCTTCGTACTGGACTTAATGGTAATTAAAAATCTTTATTCAAGTAACAAAATGAAGTTTCCTTCCTTACTAACGCAGCAGTTATGGTGTAGGAAAGGTATATTTTAGCGGCGATTTGTATTACACCAATTGGCAATGTATTAAAATAGATAAAAACTGGCCCAATACAACTAGTAGGGACATTAGCAGTTATCACACGAACCGATGTTATGAGCATGTGGCAGTATTGTATAGGTACTAGCTATTTCATTATAATAGGTTTCTCCCGTTAATTGCCCAGAAATACGCTTTATCACAATGTGTTTTTTGGAAAAATTATTCTTAAATGTATGTAATTTAGACTCGTTAGGGAACTCTGCTAATTCTATGGTGATAAATAATACTTCGTTAACGTTGAAACAGTGTGTTGAGCTTTAAGCTCAACTGATTTGATTGTTGGAAGGTCAATTTTCCACACGATACCCCATGGCAAACAAACCCGTGTGCCAAATGTCAATTTACGTAAATTCGATTATTCACCAGAACCATCCGACTTAAATCTTACCGACGTTTTATTATTGCACTATTGTTTCAGCTTTTATTATCTAGATATTTTCTGCACGTTTGTCGTAGATAAGGTGCAAAAACTAGTCCCTCTTGCAAAATATCTTTTTTTATTACTAAATGACGCAAAACTGTACCCTGTATTACACTAGTATTAAATATTAGATGTTTAGTGCGTAGCAATAAATTAATATTTCTGATTGCAAAATGTGTCTTTGTTTTTCATTAATATTAATGATTTGATCAATCACTTCATTAATTGTGTGTTTGATTTGGTAATAACATATTTTGTTTATTTTTGCAAGGTTTGCACTGTAATTTATTATAATGAAGGGCACATTTCCAAACAGCCGACTTTGTTGAAAGAAACTGAAAAGTATTTTTTGATTTTGGAGTCAATTGACTGGCCATCATAGGACACAATTTTCATACCATCATTGTACGATTTGATTCAAAGTTGGCATTTTTTACGTCTAAGGGCAGTTATTGAATAACAGAAATACCAGTCTTCCAAAGGAGACAAAATATGAGTGTTTTCGAAATATGAAGTTACAGATTGCAAATGTTTTTCTATGAGCAAATTCGATGGCACACTTTTCAACACACATTTTGTCGTCGAAAGCTTTACTTTTCCGTATAGCATGCGGCAAAGTACGTATTTGAAAAAATTGCGATTCACATGCAATTATTTACTTTTAAATCGTCTTGATATTTTTTGTTTGTTTCTTTCACTTTTATTCGAGCGTTTATGCGTTTTCCCGCACTCATCTACTGTATCTTCAGTTAGTATGCGGGAAACGCCGCAACTGCCGGGTGATAAATATTTTTAATACTGCATCTGTATATTTTTGACCAACAGCCGTTTTAATACGTCGTGAAGAACTTCCGAAGTTCTTCAGATTGTGCTTAGGGGCCGAAGCGCCAGTTTAGTGTGCCAGATTAGTGAGTTTATTAAAAAAGGCGATCAATTTTCGATAATGTAACTTATAGCTTGAATTCCAATTTTCCAATTTCCAATTTCAAGTTTGTTACCTCTTTGTGTAGAAGAGTTTCGTATACTAAAAAAAAAAGAAATATAAAGCAAAATGAATGAAAACACACATACAATATGCAATTTCAACACAAAGTATAGGCATTATATTGATCATTTTTCAGGTCGGCGTTTTCATAAACGAACATGTTAAAAAGAAAAAGAAAAACTATTTCTGACCAGTCATGCAAAACAGCAAATAGGCATCTACTAATGTTCTGTGCTAGGGTTGAAACCACATGCTGCACTTTTAATTCGATATCCAAACCTCATTTGAAGCGCTACATAATCCTACCGACTGCACCACTTAAATAACCCGTTTTGAAAATATGGCTTTTAAGATCGATTGATTCGAAAGTTATTGTATCTTACTGGTATGACTTCTTAAGAATTTTGCGCAAACGGGATTGCAAATTTCTTAAAATCAGATGGTTGGCATCAATATTTATAGGGTGATTCAGCGTTGTAGTGGTAAAAGCATGTGAAGATTCTATTGGCTCGAAAAAAAGGGATTGCGAGAGTTTCGGTTGCGAGCGAGGGCAATCTATTTTTGTCATGTTTACGTCTTCTTTTTAACGAATAGTCTGCATAAATGGCCATATAATTCAACCAATCGATTACATTTGTTAGTTTTAGGTTTTAATTGCTCAAAATTTCATTTGAGGAGTTCGTTGCTGTTTTCACCGTTTGAAATATTTTTGTTTTTCTTCGTACATCCCGGTAACTTTTTTTGGTAACTTTTATTGTCTTCATTCCAGTTAGGTTTTAAAATGTTTTGGGTAGATGTTTATTGTTGTTAAAGCCATCGATGGCGAATTGACTTTTTGAAAACACTTTTAAACCCTGAAACATTCAAGAGAAAGATGATTCGTTGAATGAATACGTTTGAATGTTTTCTATCGTCTTGCCTTACTTATTATTATTGCTTCAACTGTTGTGGAAAGTTCTTCGTCAAGCAATATAAAAAGTTGTTTTTTACGTTAGTTAATTGAGTTTTGCTTGTTGTTGTTTGGTACCGCCTTGTATGTGTCATGCCTTCCTCCATTTCTAGCAGCGATTAACCACTTAGCCTGGCCAAAACGGCCAATCAACAACCATTTTCAGACACGCTACTCCATGGCTCCCACGACGGAGCTTTGAAGCACATTATTCCATTGAGAAAATTGTGCCACAATTAATTGATGATGGCCGGTAATTTAGTTTCGGCCGTATACTTTCGGTGGCACTAGTCATTTTTTTAATAAAAATTTCCGTCGTTTTATGGTACATTTCGAAAACTTCTACTGTTCCTTTCTGGTTAGGAATCGAGTTCGAAACAAAGAAAATGTTTCATCACCTAATTTATGGAAAAGTTCAAGTTAAACGGCACTTTTCTAGAAAAGCTTTGCTCGTGTTTTCATGGGGTCACACGCGGATTTCCTGCGCTGGAAAAGTTCGGTCGTTTTACTTTTCATATTCACATTAAGCCTTCCCTTCGCACAGAAATATCCTTTAAAAGATTTATACGTTTAAAGTTTTTTATGTTTCTAGTATTTGTGGTGCGACTGTCCGCAAACAAGTGTGCTTACTTCAATAAAGTATACTCTATTTTTTAAATAACACACTCAATTTTAAGTAAATGTGTGGTTTATTTATCTGAATATGGCAAGACGTTGAACTCACTGAACAAAAGCTAAATTAAATGATGTTTTCGGCGAAAAGTCTGATAGGGATTTGGTACTTCTTATGAAACGAAAATGGCCTAACAATGTGCAATTTATTTCTAGTTTGAATTTTACCTTTTTCAAACCATTTGGTGATTGAGAAAGTATGAAAAAGACGCAATTTTGTCTTGAATTAGAAGCCCTTAAGAATCTCACTTTTAGAAATCGCCTTATTTCCTTTCAACTGAACATCGTTGTTTCAAATACTCTTATATGTATACTATATATTTTTATTTTTTAAATTTACTTTTCAAGAGTAGGGGAACACCAGATCATTCAATATTGGACTGTTTATATAAATATTTCTTTAGTGTTTCCATTTTTTTCTCTTTAATCTGATGAAATTCTGTCGCTTGTTGCATGGCGTATTTTGCATATTTAAATTTGCAAACGATGGCATTTGTCAGAAGAGTTTCGTAACAATTAATATACAGGGTGTCCAGAAGAATGTGGGCATGTTTGCGGATACGTTTGCAGGGCTTTAAAAAAGCATGAAAAGTTCCTATAAATGTTTTAAGTACCTACTTGTAGTACTTTAAGTAATTTATTTGAACTCATTTTACCGCGAGCTTCTTCTACACATGAATGCTCATTTTTAATACCTTGTATTGTCAACACATCGGACAACCATTTTTAAATAAGTTGAAGCTTAAACTAAAAAAAGTACTTTTGTTTTACTTCGATAAAAAAACCGTTTTCTAGAGAAAGGAAAAGTTTATGAAAACAAAACTTAAATATACTTAAAAGTAAGAGACGCATCAGAAGCTTAAAAATTGGGTATATTAAAAGAAAATAAAACACTATATTTTAAGTAGCAAGATATAAAAAACAAATAGAAACAATTTTCCGGGATCAAACGTACCGCGAGATATTAAAGCATCTGAAGTGGAAGAAGAACATTTAAGTTTGTTACTTGTTTTTTTTTGTTTAATCAATTTAACATTTTATTATAATTTAACATAACATGTCAATGTAATTTATATCGCTATTACATATTTGAAATCTTAAGTCGATACGATCAATCACGGTGGTTTACAATGCAAATTTTTGAATAAAAAATGACTGTGTAAAAGCAGCGAATTCCTTTATATACAGAGTGGTAAAACATGTTCTGTATTTCGATTCTTGATAGTGGCGTGGTCAAGAGAATCTAATTGATCAAAAGCTCACTTTACAAAAAACGTATTTTTTTCCTGTGGTCTGCAGCTGATCTGTTCATATGCAGTTTGTATTAAAATTAGCTCAAGATTAGCACACCATTAGAATACATGCCTTTTATATAATCATAGGACATTTTCATTCATACTGTTTTACAATGCAAATGCTAAGAAGAATAATTTGTAAAACTAATCGCATTCCAACATTTTTTAGTAGCTATTTTAGTAAATTTTTGTATTTTTTGTAGGATTTATTATAACTTTTTAAAACTCTTAATGTAAATGCTCTTGGTAAACATAAACCGTTTTTCCAGAAGTGTGGATTGCATTTTAAAATGGATTCTCTTCCATAAATAGTCCTCCCCAGTCCCCACCTTTCAATAAATCAGCTTTAGTCTACAGCATCAAGGTATTAAGCGTTTGTTTAATTACCTAAACCCATCGAGCATCAAGCAGATCATACAGTAGCCGAGAGTCAACATTGTTGGAAGATAAACGCTCGGTCCTCCTATTTAAAACCTCATTTTGCAAAATGAGAGCGGGCTATTAGTTCGTTTCTTCAGTGAAAGCAACTGCTAACATCGTAAAATTCAATCAACCAACAAACCGACAATTTTTCGATAATAGCGTTGCATTCATTTGGTTTTTCTTTCCGAGTTGTGTTTGATAATTTCCACGGCAATCAGTCGATAAAAAAATGTAGGTTGGTTCCATTCCATCCAAACAGTGAATTTCCATACGAGTTGTTCAAGCAACGGTTCTTAGGATGTGCGGAAAAATGTGTTGGCCCTTTTCAAAAAAAGAGATTAAGGTTAGTTGAAGATTATTTTTGTTGGTGTACCTATTAGATTTAGGCGGATTTAAGTGCGGGTGATGCGTCCAAACATTACAATACTCAACTGTGTTAAAAAAAATCATGAATGTTTTTTTATATGATGGTTTGTGTTTTACAATTTTACACTTTTCCGCAGCATTGAGTTGTCATCATGTTTTCTTGTAATCCAAAACTGATAAGAATTACTTACTTTACCACTGACGCAAGAGTCTTAATTCTATGTAATTGTTTAGCCAGCAGCGATTCCAAAATAAACTCCGGATGATTCTGAAACACCTTTTTTGATGTTGCTGCATCACTTCACTATATTGAACTTAAATTTATACACTTATCTATTTACTAATTCTTTAAAAACATAGTTAAGTAGCAAACGTGAAAAAATATTCTAATTGAAACTTTTGGATAAGCACGAATAAAAACCGTTTCGAATGCAGATAAAGCAAAATGTTTATGTAAAATGTTAACTAATTGCAAGCATGATATGCATTGCTTTCATGTTAATTCTAAAAAGATGTTTTTGTGTTACATTATAAAGTCAAAATGTTAAAGATTATTTGAAGACTTACTTTACAGTCTAGTAGTAGTTGAAGTGCAGATGCTACTTAGGCTGAAAAGGATTTTTGTAAAAGTTAATGGGCAGAATTATAGTGTTTTACCGTGTGTGATTGAGAGTTCAACGGATGTAAGTGCATTTTCTTGTAATGTTGCAATGTTGAACATATTTTTTAAGTTTAATTTCAGTATTCAATCGTATGATTAATGAACGTTTTGGTGTATTATAAAACAAAATCTTGTTGTAGATTCTTATAAAACCTGTATTTATAATTCGCATCACCAAAGCTATTATTTCAGATTACTGCACACTTTGTTGCTATTTAATTATGCTGAAGTTGCATATACATAAACATAGGTTATTTATTTAAGTAGTTACTTACATTTTGTTAAAGTTAAATCCTTTTAAGTTAAAGTTAAAATCATCCACTATTTTCAAGCCTTAATATTTATAATTTATAGTTCAAGATGAACGACAATTTTAATGGGTTTAAAAAATTGGCGATTAAGCCAAACTTTTTTACTTCTAACGTTGAAGGTGATCAGGATTTCTGGATGAGCTGACAAAACCAAATCTAACATTAATTATTGCTTCTAGAGAATTTACAATTATTTATAATCGAGCTCAGAATGGGGTGAATCAGTTTTTTCGCTTAAAGAAGGTTTAATTTGGCGCTCTCGGGTTAGTTACATTTGTTGATTTATTTAGATCTTATTCTAGTCTTTTTTCCCCTAATATCCTAGATTTATTCTACTCCATTTATCACCAGGAAGGAGGTTTATTTTTAAAATATTTTGCTAGCATCGAGTTGTAGTTTTTTAAAAACCGACATGTTTTCCGATGTGTTTTCGTCAGAAGAAAATCGCTGCATTGAACCCTGTATTTTCGTTTGTTTTCTTGATATTTTTAAGGTTCTGGTTATTTCTTCTGTCCGATACTTTAACTTCTGTTTCTGTTCTATTTAAGGTAAATTATTTATTTGTTGATAAAACTGCTGAGTTTTTCCGGCTCTTGGAAAGTACCGGTGGTGGAAAGGAATTCTTCACCACCTCTGAAGATGTAAACCACTTGTGCTTGCGAAACGTCAGGGGGAAATACTTTTTCACAACGACCTAAAATCTCTAAAAACTCGTCAGTTTGACGAAGGTCTAACTTATTTGATTTTCATTTGTGGTTCGTTATTATTCTGGAAAGACACGCTAATGGTTAATTCGTTCATATCAATGGTTAATAAAAAATTGTTACTCGAGATTTATTGGAGTGCGAACCGTTTATTGCATTTTGTCGCACGGTCGATTAATTTGTTTGCCTTAATAACGGTTTGATATCTTGTTGATTTGAAAATATTCAATTTAAGACTGTTGAGGAATGCTGTATTTTATTTTTAGTTATTTTTAATTATCATCGTTGTCTTTCGTTTGTTGTTATTGTTGATACGGGTCAAACAAAGTACCAACTGATTCGGCAACGTCGACAATGTATCAAATTAGAACATATTAAATATGTTAAACAAAGTTACATAAATTTTGAAGCGAGCTTACTTCCTGCTAATATAGAACGGCATTATTATCCTTAATAACTGTAGTGCGGTTTTCTTGCTGGAACCACTCACTGTGTCGGGCAATAGTGAAAATTGCAAATATTACTTCTTCCATAATAAATGCGTTGAATTATTTTATTATTTTATTTTGTAGCATCTCGCTTTTATTTTGCAGCTTCGTCTCAATGCTATTGTCAGATTTTTATCAACATGTAACGTCTTATTGTTTGAGGATTTACATCACCGTTTAATCAAACACAGTAGGCCATAAATATGTACTTCCTCTATTGTTTGTACGCAGAATTAATCCGAATTCATAGCAAAATTGAACGGTGTTCAATATTATGCAGTTGAGAAATTGAAAAGCGAATAAAAACCAAAAGTAAATATTTCCAAATTGCAGGTATTGAGTTATCTACACAAGCAACAAGCATGAAACGAATCAACGTCAGTACAATTAAATTTAAAAAAATGTTCAGCAATACAAATTAGAAGCGAATTACAGGTTTAGGAAGTGCTGTGGCGAATACGGTTTTTGCTCAATTACCGTTCGTTTTGTTCTAATTTTGAATTGTTTATGGCTGGATGTGCGATATAGAGTGTTCGTTAAATGATGCCCTGCATACTTCGAGAGTTAATAGAAGAGAAGGTTTCAGATCTAATAATAAGAGAAGATTCGTAGAACCATCGTACAACATTTTCTTCTTAAATGGAAATAGTAGAATTCAATTCAGTTGAATCATTCGCATCAACGTCATAAGCCCAGTTGCATAAATGTATCAAACATGTAAACAGCATGTTGCGTTTTTGCCATTTGCTATTTCACTACAATTTGCACACGGATTAAACGATGCCATGTTATAAATATTTATAGATCAAAACAGAACTGGTGTGTTCCTGAACTTAATACCCTTTGCAAATAGACAATGAAGAATATCAGTCCGAAATTGTGGGAAATCCTCGCAAAGCTGCATTTTTACAATTGAAGTTGATTAGCAAATTGGCGGCGTTTCCGGATTCTGAAAAAAAAACACAAACCGTACACCGGGTGATTGGATACGCTAGTTCTATCTTGATTATCGTCGGCTGCTACATGAAGCCGCAATAAATTACCAATTTTACTGACCTTGACCTATTTTTTTCTACTTGATTTTTTTTTCGTGTTTTTTTTGCAATTTTAATTTGTATTCAGGACGACACTTCGACGATAAACTGGGTCGCGGCCAGCGAAGCCAGCAGCTTATCTTATGAGGAAGTCGCTCAAAGATTGGACGTGGACGTAGAGAAAGGACTAACCTGGCAGGATGCGACCAAAAGAAGACAATTATCTGGGTGAGAATCGTGAGCTAATTTAAAAAATTCCATTAACACCAGCATCAATTGGGATGGCATCAATTAAATTTGCCAGCATTCAATTTAAGACCGCAATTTACTTATTATATTTAATAAAAGTAATTACTTTCGGAATGCAGCCTCATTCCCATTAAATCCTCGTGTCATGGAAAGTTTCAAAAGCGCTGTTTTTTCCCGTTTGCTTTTTTAGTTTGGAGGATTCTTTCTTGTTGATTTCAGGGAAACTTTTCAAACTTTTTAACTAGATTTATATGCTGGTCGCCTTTGAAGTTTCCTCACAGTTCAAAAAACTGGTTGATAAATTTTACTTTTAAACTTTATGTTGTTTTTTTGCCTGTCGACGCTTAAATATATCAAAAACACAATTTTTTCAAATTAGATTTGATTCCTTCTTGACTTAAATTTTTATCGAGTACCTAATTGCTAAAAGCGTTTGGTAAATTCTGATCTTAAAATTGTTATTTCACTTTCCTTCGTACATAGTTTTGTTCGATTTAGACCACCATTTACTCCAATATTAATCTCAACTATTTTCAGGACGAGGAAAAAAACAGATTTTTTACATATTAACGGGCAACTACAGAATAGATTTAAGATCACGAAGGAAATACGAGTATCAAATATTATTCCTAGACAGACGAACACAAAATGCTTGACTTGAATGAACGTGAATTTCAAGGCTCATTAATGTGCATTTTTTATTCAAAATCATATTTTTTGTTAATACTCGAATTGGCTGTTTATTCAATTTCAATGGCGTTATCCTATTGCCCAATTATTATTTAATCCGTGCTACCTTTTGGGTACATTATTTACAAGTCATTCTTCGAATTGAATGAATGCATATCTCCCCAATGTATAGCTGTTTTCTAATCCTGGGTATTATTTGAATTTAAATGTTGACAAAACTACACATAATCAGTATTGAATCGGATTATCATTTAAATGAATATTTTGGCTTTTATAGGGTATTGTATGCTTTCTCTAAATTAGTTTTTGTAGATTTTTTCCAAATTTATTTGTATTGTAGATTTTCTCATGTTTTACTACATAACGGTTTTCACTTTTTCACCTTCGCTGCTTTGCTTCCTAATTTTGTATAATTAACATTATTTGATTCTTATATTAAAATTTATTACATGGTAGTGACGATATTTGCTAAAGTAAACTATAAATTTGAATGTTGGATTGGACTGCGTTCTTCCAAACGTTTTTTTTTGCAATTCGAATACAAGGAACATTCTAAAATAATTATTTCCATAAAAGCGACACGCAATTTTAAAAATAATTAAATTTAATATGAAAGTGTTTTGGCACATAATATATTTTCTCAGGTTTGGTACACATTGTATTTATCCACGTCGCAGCGCTAAACGTTCATAAGCAATTTGCAGCAATTTAAATAATATCTAATCTAAATATTGATTCGTTTTGCAGGTCAAATTTGGGCGTAGAGTTTAAGGTGAAAATAAACGTTAAATGATTTTGGTAAAATGGGTCTTTTTCAGGCCAATCGCAATATACAAATCCAATTATTTGGATGAAAAACGCTAAAACTATAGAGAATTTCATTCGTATGTTGGCCATTTTAGGAAAATTATCTTGTGTATATATATTTAAGGTGGTACTCTAGCTATCCCAAATAGAGCATTTGAAGACTATTTTTTAATTGAAATTTGCACTAATTTTTAATGGAAACTCCCTGTATATATTTAGTCATTTCACGTAACTTGAGTTTTGTTACTCCAAAAATTATTGGTCCGTTTAAGCTACAAAAATTATTCCTTCATTTCAATATTTTCGGACGCTAAAAAATCCTCATTTGTATTCTATATTATACATTTTCATCCATCCATTTCAAATAATTTTTATGGAAAGAATGAAAACATCGAAATAACGTAACTTTTTCCTAACTAACTATGAATATTTGTCCTCAAATAGGCTCAAATTCTTAACCCTCCTAGCAGTATTTTTTAAATCTACGAAGCGACGCACCACTTAAGAACTTTGCTTGTATAAGTAAAAATTAAACTTGTATAATTAAACAACCGAATGTTGATGGTAAACTGAAATAAAAAAAAGGTTCTGTTTTTATCGATAATTTTACTTATTAAAATTTGATTTGTTAATTTTCAGCTACAACGAGTTTTCGGTAACAGTCGAAGATCCTCCATGGAAGAAATACTTGGAACAGTTCAAAAATCCCCTAATTCTGCTGTTGCTGGCTTCGGCCGTTGTGTCCGGCGCCATGCAACAGTTGGACGATGCCATCAGCATCACCTGTGCAATCATCATTGTGGTAACGGTGGCTTTTGTGCAGGAGTATCGGTCGGAGAAGAGTCTTCAGGAGTTAACAAAATTAGTGCCGCCAGCTTGCCATTGGTGCGGAAACCAACTAATGTTGTTCTGATCGATGAATCTAATTGTTTTACCCTTTTGTTTAGTATTCGTGAAGGAACACCCGACACTTTTCTTGCCCGGGAATTAGTTCCTGGAGACATCGTTTTGTTGAATGTGGGCGATCGAGTTCCAGCCGACCTGCGGCTGTTTAACACCACGGATTTACTCATTGATGAAAGTAGCTTTACAGGCGAAACTGAACCATCTAGGTATATTGCTGAATGTTTTTAATTTATATAGGCCAAAAATAATTAGATTAAGAGCATGAAAACAAGTCTGGATTTTAGACACCATTCATGATTTGAAGTTTTTTGCGCGCTCCCCAGAATATTGATTCCAAATTAGTTTTCATTTATCAGCCCGTTTAAAAATGCCGTAAAAATGTTTATGTAGAGCTAATCTCCAGTAATATCAGTAGTAATAATGTATAATTGCCCTGTTCTTATTAGGAAAAACACCGACTTAGTATTGAGGCCGAATGGAGCTCACGCGTCCAACACCAACATTGCGTTTATGGGCACATTGGTTCGAGCAGGAAATGGCAGGGTAATTATGTTTTTTTTAAGTTCCTTATTTATTCATGACACTACTTGGTATGTATTTTTAACCATTTTTCTGTTGTTAGGGTATTGTGGTGAGCACAGGGACCAACAGCGAATTCGGCTCAGTGTTCAAGATGATGCAAGAAGAAAAAGCACCCAAAACGCCTCTGCAGAAATCTATGGACGCACTTGGAACCCAATTATCGCTGTACTCTTTTGCCATAATTGCTGTTATTTTATTAATTGGTTGGTGGCAAGGGAAAGTCCTACTGGAAATGTTCCAGATTGGTGTTAGTTTGGCAGTTGCAGCTATACCCGAAGGTATAGAAGTGTTTTATTTTTTTTAAAGTTTTTGCGATGGAATAGTTAGCAGGTAACGAACATTTGCTTAGACATAAGAAACAGGTTTTTTTCACCTCATTTACCAGGCATCAAAGCTTGAACCTACTAAAAATCGTAATTTCTTATATTTTTTTCATCTTTGCAGAATATCCTTAATAGCCATCATGTTTGTTTCCAGGTTTGCCCATCGTGGTGACGGTAACTTTGGCATTAGGAGTAATGCGAATGGCCAAACGAAAGGCTATAGTGAAGAAATTACCCACAGTAGAAACACTCGGTGAGTCTCAAAGGCATAACATCCAAACTAAAGTGTTAAGCATTAATGACAAATTTCACGCGATATGAGTTCAAATATCTATATTGTCACTGATTGAGAAGAAATGCAGACCGATAAACGCAACGCCGATACTCTATTATCAAAATCAAAAGCTCGCTAATGTTCTAATGTAACTACGAAAATGAAGTTCGAGAGTAACTTTTCGGTAAAAAAATACTTCATATGCAGAAGTTATTTTATTTTGTCTCTTAGGTTGTGTAAACGTGATATGCAGTGATAAGACAGGAACGATTACTCGAAATGAAATGACTGCAACTGTGCTAGTAACTTCGGATGGATATATTGCTGAGCTTTCAGGGGCTGGCTACAATGATCACGGCCAGGTTCTATTGCACAAGTGCGATTATCCTGAAAAAGCTAGAGACAGTGTAGCTAAGTTGCTAGAGGTTAGTACTTGATTGCTGCTCTTTTTAATCGATTAGTTGCATTAGAAAGTGTATTGCTTTGGTTCGGGCAGAGATTTATTCAATGTTTTTCCAGGTCGGTGCCGTGGCAAATAACGCATTAATATCCGATGAAAATCTGATGGGACAACCGACTGAAGGAGCCCTATTGGCGGCAGCAATGAAACACGGCTTGTATAACGTAGCCGACAGATATGTGAGGTAAACTGCCTTTGTTGAATATTCGTATTTACTGCGTTTTAAACAGTTGCATCTACGTTTTTGTTACTAAATCTAATACTACTGAACTGGTATTTATGATAAATAATTCTGTTTAGATTGCAAGAATATCCTTTCTCGTCAGAACAAAAAATGATGGCCGTAAAGTGCGTTTCAAAATACGAAGCGAACAAAGGCGAAATATTTTTCGCTAAAGGCGCTCTTGAAAAAATCTTGCCCAACTGTAACGGATATTGCGTAAATGGTAAATAAGCACGACAGAACAAACAGTAAAATTAACTGATCATGGGCGTTAATTTCAGGCGCTGTTCAACCCCTAACACCCGAAAAGAACGCCGAATTCACTGCTGAATGTACGGAAATTGGCAAGAAGGGACTAAGAGTAATCGCTTTAGCAAAAGGTTAGTTAAGGACAATTTATCATTCTCTCAGTATATAGTATGCAACACTAATGAAACTCTCACCTAATGATTTTGATTGTTATTTTTACCGCGACACTTGAATACTCTCATATTTTAGAATTAACTTAGAACACAACATTTAAACCTAATACTTGTTAATATTTGGTATGCCCTCCCTGCTTCTCAATGACTACTAACATTCGATGAGGCAATGAATTGATTCAATATTGGAAACCATCAGGACCATTCGGGTTAATCTTCTTTTCATCCGCGAAAACGGCATTTTTCCATTCTTCTGACCAGTTACGGTGAATGCCTGAAATCTCTAAACGTTCTTGACGTGCAAGAAGCAAAGGCTTCTTATTTTTAAGTTTGGACATTTCTTTATGATCTTTTGGATAGTGCGTACAGATGTATTGCTTCCCCTTCGATCCCCGATTTTTCTTGTTGTTGACGAAGCATTCGATGGAAGTTGAAGAATTGAAGAAGAACACGACGTTCCGTTAGCCCGGTATGTTTAGTCGATCTTCGGAACTATGCCGGATACTGTTGATACTGTGTCGACGCGAAAGCGACGGGTTTTTGATGCAAAGCTGTTCTTTGTTAGGTGGAATCGCCGACGATTGTCCCATAGAATGACTATGCGCAATATCGCTTTTTTTGTGGCCCCGCCGGGCGTTTTTGCTATGACTATTAACAAAAATGTTGTATTTAAACAATCAAAAGACTGTATTTAAACAATAATGTTTTTTCAGGTGACAGTCTAACGAATCTAACTTATATGGGCATTGTTGGCATTTGCGATCCACCTCGACCAATGGTACGCGAAGCAATCAACATACTAACTGAGTCTGGAGTCCAAGTCAAAATGGTAACTGGAGATGCTGCTGAAACAGCCGTTGCCATAGGTAAAAGCTTTCCTCTTGTCCCATTAACATCATTCAAGGTTTGAATTATTTCAGCTCAATCTATTGGTCTTCAGACTCAGCCATCCAATGTGCTGAGTGGAGAACAGTTGGACTCATTTTCGGAAACCGAATTAGATGCAGCGGTTCCGCACGCCACTGTTTTCTACAGGGTGTCGCCCAAAAACAAACTGTCTATTGTGAAGTCGCTCCAAAGGTAACGGCAAGCCAGAGTAAGCAAATGGATGCTTTATTGCTATTTTGTTGAAGGTCTGGATATATTGTTGGAATGACTGGCGATGGAGTGAACGATGGTGTCGCACTAAAAAAGGCCGACATTGGAATTGCTATGGGCAAAAATGGGACAGACGTATGCAAAGAAGCTGCTGATATGATTTTAGTGGACGATGACTTCTACACAATTATGTAAGCAGCTTTGTTAATTTCTCAACCTTGCCGAGCTTCCAGTAATACGGAAATATTTATTTACCCGATAAACTATATGTTGATTTGTAATTTTCCAGAGCCGCAATTGAAGAAGGCAAAAGCATATTCCACAATATTCGCAACTTTGTCGGATTCCAACTATCGACTTCAATAGCGGCTTTAGCGCTTGTTGCCTTGGCCACTATTATGGACATCCCCAATCCGCTAAATGCTATGCAAGTAAGTGGCTTCGAGTAATGTGACGAGTTGCTTTAATTCCTAAATTGATTCTCTTTTTTAGATTTTATGGATTAATATTTTGATGGATGGGCCGCCGGCCCAAAGTTTAGGAGTGGAGCCAGTGAGTGATGATGTAGTGAAGCAAAAATCCCGGGACACAAAGGAACCAATGATAACTAAAAAACTTATACTCAACGTGCTTCTATCGGCGACTTTTATTGTAGCCGGCACTCTATGGGTGTTTAATAAAGAGGTAAAAACCATAAGATTTTCTTCTATTGAGTATTAAACAATAAGGTTTCTTTCAGATGACAGCGGATGGAGTAACGGCGCGCGATACTACAATGACCTTTACATGTTTCGTGTTTTTCGACATGTGGAACGCCCTTTCATACCGGTCGCAAACAAAAAGTGTTTTCCAAATTGGCCTCTTTTCAAACACTTTTTTCTTGGTAGCGGTTGGAGCTTGTGTTTTAGGACAACTTTTGGTGGTTTACGTGCCTCCGCTTCAAGGAGTGTTTCAGACTGAAGCTCTTACAGCGTTAGGTAAGTGAACTCTGTTTTTTTGGTCATGGTCGAAATAGTGCAATTTTTGTGGAAGCTGAATAAAGAACCAGTAACCTGAAACGTTGAAAATAAACTGAAGAACTGAGAAAATATTCAGTTAAATTTAATTGCAAATTTGATATGAACGAATACTTTTTAAAGCACTTATCATCTCCGATAAGCAAAATCATCTGTTAACAAGGAAATACTTTGCTTCTAGATATGGCATTCTTAGTGGGTTTATCATCATCAGTATGGGTGTTTTCGGAATTCAAAAAACTGTTTGAACGACTGCTGGACAAAAAATGCCGGGGTAAAAAGACACCGCTCGAATATGTATGACAGCGCCGCCACAAACCGAAAACACGATCTAAAACAAAATATTACTGCTAAGAATGGTTCCTCTGGCTCAGTGTGCAAGAATCCGACGTCGTTACCAAGATAAGCGGGAAACTCGAATGTTATGAAATACTTTGTACAGCATTTTTTGCAACATGAAACACTTGACTCATTTCAGTTTTTTTTATGTTTCTGTTAGAGTAGAATTTAGCATGTCTTGACATATTTGAACAAAGAAGTGCAACTAGTTTGCGTGCTGTATAGCTTGTCCTCCGTAATGTGGATGCTGGCAGGCTACATTGTTGTATACATTAGATTTAATAATTCAATAACACTCACAGTACCGTATTAACACTGACATATCTTGTATGGTTAAATAACCAATGAATCTAGTCGATGTTTTCGTACAGTTGCTTACCCTAACTCACGCTAAATATTTATACTGTCCAAATCTTTCTATTTCAATTCCAACTTTAAATTTAATCTTTTTACTAGCAATAGAATCTTTAACTGCTTCTCAATTTCCCTATTTCTTTTTGGAAAATTGCAACAATTTCCCAATAGACCTTTGGCTTAAAAAGTCTTCATTTACGTATAGAATTCTGCTGCTCATTTGACTAACATGATTTGACGATAGATTTTCAAGCGGTGCATAAATTTAATGAGAATCTTCAAGGAAAACATCCTCTTAGAGTGAAAAATTATGTAATTTTTATGAGAATTATCGAATTACCGCCTATTAACATATTTTTTGCTCCATAACATTAATATGGATGAACGATTTCTTATCATACTGAAGTACATACATACATACGTACTTTCGAACAATCTTGAAACATAAAAAATAGTTTACACTTTTAGACTCGGTAACCACACCACAAAGGTTTATTTGCAAATATAAGGCGCAAGAAGCGTTTTAAATTCCAACAAAAATGTAAATGTTGCAGTGATATTTAATTTATATTGCAAAAACCAGTGTTGTCTTCAAAAAGGCATTTCAAAAAAAATATACGATTTTATGTGAATCTGTGAATTAGATATACTGACTATTCATTATTCATCTAACAATCATCATTCAATTAACATTAAAAATGCATTTATTCAATTTTATAATTGATGTGAAAAGTCTACTTGCAAAAGATTATAGCCTCTTGTTTCATATTTCTTTAAAATGGGTTAGATTTTTTGCTGTTTCATATTTTGCCTGATTTAGACAAACTTAGTGAGTTTAATCAGCAAAACGGTGAATCCATTTTAGATAAGCCAACTCTCTCTTGAAATGAGAAACTTTTACTTATTTCTAAATCAGTATTCTTCAGTAGGTTTTTATAATGCGACACAGTACCGATTAATAATATTAATATTTATATCATCTACATCGCATCGAGGGTGCAAAAAGGGTAAAATCTAATACTCAGCAAACTTAGTAAACCACAAGCTTACAATTTTTGCATCCGTGTATATTTTTGCACACTTTAAGCGATATTTATGGTAGTTGTAGGTAGCTAGCTAAATAGGATTATTTTTTGTACATGTTTATATGTAGATTTGCGTTCTTTTACGTGAAAATATTTTTAAGTATCTTATATATTTTTCTATGTAAGTCGTTGTTGATTTTGTTAGTACTTATTTAAGTCATGTTAATGAGACGCATTATACCGCCGGATCACAAATTATCTTGTTATTACATTGAATTTTTAGAGGCTTGGACTACTCGTAATCACCGCTGAGTCAGTTTGAATCTCTCGGCAAACAATTGCTAATAATCTGCACAGCATGATTGAATATATTTAAACTTTCGAAGGTTAACTGAAATTTTAACTACGTCTAATCAAAACTTCAACTAAATACAGGGTTTATTATCTATTTAGTATTCAAATGAAGGTTGTAAAGACATCTTACCAGTTGAATTAATTCTGTTGTATCGTCACTAGTCACGCCAAATGATTAGGTGCTATCATGCACATTTGCATATTTTCCAACTTTCATAATATTGTTTGAATAGCAATATTGAATATCCTCAAGAGATACATTCTTTTTTTCTAACTGAAAGTCTTTGACTCGGAAAATTGAAATATTATTATTGAAATTATTGGAATAAAATGTTTTAATTGCGTCGAGCCCCCTAGCAATTCTACGTGTAGGTCTAATGCTCAGTTAAATTATTTAAACATTAGGACATAAGTATCATCTAATCATTAAACACTCATGGCTGTAAAATTAATTGTAGGTATTTAAGTTTTATATTTGTAGAATTCTTTGTATATTATCAACTTTTGCCATTATTTACACTATAAAGATTTTATTTGAATTTAGGAGTCTACTGTCATTTTCCTCATGTTTATACAGAATGAAATTAGAACAAGCCATAAATGAACTGTGATTTAACTCTTTAAATCACAAATCATTTATAGTTTAACAATTTAAATCGACCTTTGATGGGTTTTTACAAGGCTTAAACACGATTACAATGTAGTTTTTCTATGCAACAATAGCTTTAACACAACAATAACACAAATGTTACTCAGTTGTCTATACTCCATTTATATATTTCGTTTCAACCCTAAATTAAATAAATACATACATTTCACACGCAGAGTTTTTGTTTTAATAAGTTTGAACAATATTTTGTAGAACATCACTAAATTGATAAATACGTTTTTCCTAATTTAAAGACTTATTTCTATCTGTTGCGAAAACAAACAATAATAGAATTCTCCGAATAACATCAAAAAGGTATCTTTTTTCGTACCTTATAAAAAAGTAGTTGAAAGAAAATTAATTATTCTTTCGAAGTTCTTTTTTTTTGTTTGAGTTTTTGTGCTAAGTCCACTGTCCAGATTCTTACTTTATATGTTATCCAATGACTCGTCTTCATCTCCTATAGCTTTCCAGAAGGCGGTTACCATCTGTTCTGCACACTGCTTTCGCTGGCTGATTGGTAGGGACTGCAAACTGTCTTTCATCATATGCAAGTGTGTAAACAGTTCCGTAAAATCGTCTTCTCCCAAGAATTCGTCTGTAAACATTTTTTTTCAGAAATATATATTTTAGGTGCCTATTAGGTATGGTCTATTAGGTATTTAGTGTAGCCGCTAAAATAACAGTGTTCCAAATGTGTAACATGTAACCGCAGTTACAGGTAGCCGAGTTAACAGGTTATTTTTGGAACCGTCTCATAAAACCGAAAAAATGTTTAGTTGTGTGAATGATTGTGTTTATCACTTTTTCACCTATAAGAATTACTGGTTCTGTTCCCCAAAAACCATAATCGAAATATTAAAAACAAGCCAAATATTGTTTAGTTGCGGTGATGATATAATTCAGCATTCTTAGTCTAAAGTATAAAGTACTGTTCGCAGACAATCTCTAATAAATCTTTTTTAAAAAGGGATTTCTCTGATTAACTTAACTCGGGTTTAAATTCGTCTAGGTTTGCAAAACACGCATTTTTGTTTGAAAGCGTTTTTTTTTAATGTGGATTATTTAAAGTTATTGTTGACTTAATAACACTCGTGTGGTGCCCCATCAAACAGAGGAAGTCCAGTTAAAAGATAGACAAGGAGAAGATTATTCCATTTTTCAATATTTGTTTGTTGACTTGTTTCATCAACAAAAAAACATAAGGATTTTTTAAATAGGTTCTTTAATTTTTATGCGATATTTATTAATTGTCATTGATTTTTAATGTTAGAAATGAAAAGATACWTAGATGCCAATTACCTTCTCACTTCAAAATTAGTAAAATTGAAATTTAACATTGTAGCTACTTCCGTACCATGCGAGAGATTATTTTGCAAAGCGGTTGCTATCATAAACGAGCGAAGAATTAGACTTAGTAAAAAGCATTCGCAAAAAAAGTAGCATGATTGAGTAGTAGTAGTAGAAGTAGCATGAGCCTATTCCAAAGTGGAACTGCAACGTTGTTACCAGWTACGGAAAAATAACTGTTTAGCACACCTCTAGTGCTATTTCTGCAAACCCAATAAACAATAGATTAAAATTGTCCTTATTTGTAAGAGAACCAATCGCGACATATTGATACAGGGTGTTCCTTAAAAAAAAACATGAGTTTGATATGCCACGAATTGTTGGAAACATCTTGTGCAACGAATCGCATGAAACAATAATTTCAAAGTTACACTCTACACTCCAGTTAGCCGTAATCTTCCACCCAGTACCGTGCCCCCGCTGCTCATATGAAATTATTTACCTGGCAAGTCATCAGACTTTTCTACCATCATTGGAGCTACAACTTGACTGCAACATTTGGAACTGCCTGTCGTCTGTGAACTTGGATTTTTCATTTTCTTCAATACCAAATTTGACCACGTATGCGCCTGATAAACATTATAAAACAGTTGGAATTAAAAGCGCGTTGTGTATTAATCAGTTTGCCCATACTTCTAAGGCTTCAATGACTCGATTCACTCCAAACTTTTCTATAATTATATCTTCATCCGAGTTTTGAATAGTTTGCATGTCTGATGGATACAACTCGACGAACTCAAATCCTTTATTTAAGCACCACGTTACTGCGTCGCTCCTGGTAATTTTCGTTTCTTCATTGCAGTAATTGGCTATCAACAGTTTAATCTACAAAAAGATCAATTTCTTATTTTTGATGTGGGAGTCTAGTGAGAGGTATTTGCCTCGGGGTCACTCTCTGTCTCGAGCTTCTCCCATTGCTTCAGGTCATCCAGACCAGAACCCTTATTGGAATCCATGTGTATTATCAATGCCTCGATTTGGTTTAAAAAATCTTCACTAAATTCAAACAATTCGGCCACTCCAATCAGGTTCACTATTGCCGAATAGTATTTGGTGTCTGAAAGGAACAACGCTGAGCACAGTCCCAAAACCAGATAATATTTTACCTATTTTCCATGGTTGCTTAAACAGCCCCGATGGAAGCTCAGTTGGGGTTTCTTTGGTGATAAGTTTTATAAGAGATTTGGGTTTTGTGTTGCTTGAACTTACGACAACAATGGTTGGCAAATCGTTCATCTTGCGGAAAGAAGCGTTTCACTTCGAATTTTTTAAAACATTTATTCAAACAAATGATACTGCATTAATTTTAAGGTTAATTCTTCTTCTTCATTCTATGGGATCGTTCCATTTGAGGTTGCGAAAACCAGAGAAAAAATCTTCTTCACTATTGAGAGTGTGGTATTAGTTTTTCATTTTCTTTCCTTCCAAATAGACTTTCTGTTATTTGGCAATAATGTTTGCATTGGAATATTCCTATGCTAACTGAATAGAAATATGTCTAGATTGTTTTTGTTAATATTTAATTTAATACTTTTTTTGTGCTTGAAGTGATGAAAAACGCTTCACTTGAGTTACACCTTGACAGTATTCTACAACATTCCTAGACAATTCCTAACCACATTCCTTTGAAAAAATCTTTTTAATTCTACTTTCAGTTAATTTATTGGAATTTGGATTATTCCTGTTATAAATTTCGAATTCAATTACAATTAGACTCGTAGCAGACACATACATAAATTCTCCAGATAGTAAGACAATCGTCCAAACGCACAATGGAGGAATTAGAAGGTTCTAATATTAATTTTGTACCATGCATTAAATGGGTAAAACGTGGTGTGGCAAGAGCTAATCCAGAAAAAGTAAGATTCTATTACAGTTTTAATTTTCTTCTGCCATACGTAACATGCATTTAAAATACTACTGTTCGGTCTTGTTTGGAAAATTATTTTCTTTTTTTTAACCGACTATTTTCAGCAACAATATGGTCCCTTTGTACTAATAATTTAAGAACAAATTTTAGATAATATCGCTCTCCCTTAAATTATTAATTAATTTCTAGAAACAGTCAATTTTTACTCCATTTACTTAATGGTGCATTTAGAGCTTTAGCATGATCCTGATTTGTAAGAAATGTGTGCGTTCTGTACAAGACATTCAATCATACATCTTCAATGTATTTCGGCTGGTGTGTGCTATTTCTGCACATCAACTTTATTGCTCTTTTTCTTATCAATTTCTACACTTGCCTTCAGAATTAATGATATGACCTGGCAGGTTTTTGAATAATGGCAGCATTTTTCCTAGGGTTTATCAGCATTAAAAAGAAAAGAAACTATTCACTCTTAATTTTCAAATCTCTGCTACCATTTTTTCAATACCTGAAATATTTTCTTTGCTTGAGAATTACCTAACTGTACAGGGTGTCCCACTGATAGAGTAAAGTAAGTTTACTATTACTCGTATTGTTTGTTTCAAGATTCTCATCGTCATATTGTGAAGGTGCTAATCACTCTTATTTTGAAAATATTCACAATTGTACAGTGTACACAGCGTGTTTTATAAAAGTTGCCGCGCAGAAAATAACTCTTCGAACAGAATAAAATATCGGTAGTGTATTTTATTTTTCAATTTAAATTACTTTTCGTTTTAAATTTGAGCGAAAATTGACTAGTCTTTTCGTTATTTCGTTTTAAGGATGTAAATTCGTGTTTTTTTTTGTTTTCTCCGCAGTGTTAGACACAAATATTTGAAATTTGGCCAGAAGAGACTATATTAATAATTGGTTTGCATAATATTTTTCTTGCAAACTGCAGAGCGGTTTTAATAATCGTCCAAGTTACCTATTAAAAACATCCGTTTTTAACGACACTCTGTATCTATTCAAGATAAGAAAAACTAGATTTTTTCTAAATATACTGCTGTATAAAATCAACTTTACACTGACAAATTTAGACTAACTTTGAAACTTGATAAATTCGATTAGATCGAATTGATTTCTGTTTGTAGCATTATTTAGTGCAATCTTTTTCGATTATTACGAAAAAGTTGTTATTCAGATAAAGTCTCTAGAGGGTGGAGGGTGGGAACATTGATGAACGTGAACGGATAAATCGATTTTTTGGTACTTCAACACCACAAGCATTTTGAATTTTAGGCTCATCTTGTTTATTTACTGAGTGGTCTCAAAAAATCAACGTTTTGGCCTTGTACTGATAATTTTTTTCTCATAAACTGGTTTTCAAATTTAGGGCTCATGTTGAAGCTAAAACTTCACAAGCGACTAAAGAAAAAAAATATATAACAGGTTACATGAACGAACGAAGCATTCGAAAGTAAACTTCACTTTAGTTGAAAAGCGGTCAGTCACAGATTTCGGAGGCAATTCGGCTATGGCCCACTTTGTATGCAACTTCGTGCATTGAATTTTTGTCTGTAAATGTYTATGCAGTTTTAGATTCAACATGAGGTTTAGATCATTGAAATCGGACCAAGTGCAGAAAAGTTATCGCTGCWAGTCYAAAAAGTTGATTTTAAGAGACGATCCTGTAAATAGTCTKATCTATTAAGATGGCTGAGTTGAGTTTTTTGGTATATCTTTAAACTTTTGTGGTTCGAACCCAAAAAACTGTTTTTTGTCCAACCAGGAGCTTGCCGAACTTTGCAAAATTTTGCCTTTTTTTATTTGCCAGTCTGTAGAAAATTTCCCTGATATCATTTTTATTAAAACATTGGCTATCAGAAAAGAACGGGGACTAGATGACGTATCAACCAGAAACCAAATCGTTTTAAGCTATCAGAATTTATCCAGTTCCAAAGTTAGGCCAAATTTGACTGTGTAATACTTAATCTATATCGCTGTTGAACCTATGCATAAACATCTGGCGCGTTTTTTTTTCAGGTAAAGCTATCTAAGGAAGAATTGCTTGAAATTATCAAAGACACCAAGAAGGGATTTAAGTACGTTACAGTCAAGCTGTTAACTCCGTGTTGTTATCACTAACATATTTTCAAAATTTTTTAGTGTTGCCAAATCTGAGGAAAATAAGAATAGAGAGGGTGTTATGATGGGAGAAAGCAGTTCTGCTGCAGACGAATTCAATTTTGATAACTATGATCAAAGTACTAATTGATTCCAAGCATTATTAAAGCAAATCTATTTGTGCATCATTTTTCCCTAGATGACGACGACACTGCTGGAGTACTTGGAATTGCCTCGTTGGCGGATTTGCCTGTAGGAACTGATACAACAACAGCATTCTTGTTTGAGTCCGATGACTCAGACCGTGAAGATGATGTAATTAAACCAACTGACAATTTGCTTCTGGTTGGTCATGTGATGGGAGATGCCAGTGTATTGGAAGTGCACGGTGAAATTCATCAAAATTCTAACAATTAGTAATTACATTTTAAATTTTGTTAATCAGTGTACAACGAATTAGAAGAATCATTTTACGTTCATCATGACATCCTACTCAATGCATTTCCATTGTGTTTGGAATGGCTCAGTTTTGAAGCACATAGACCTAATGGCAATTATTGCGCTGTTGGTTCGATGTCCCCCGTTATTGAGGTGTATATATTATGAAAATGTATACGTAATGTTTTAAATCATCTTTTTTGTATAGGTTTGGGATCTGGATATAATGAATTCTCCGCGCCCAGCGTATAAACTCGGACAAATTGCCAGCGTTAGGAAAAACCGAGCACATATAGGACACACTGATGCTGTGCTTGCTTTAGGTGAGAGAAACCAATTATAACGGATTTTAACTTAAAACGCACTCTGAATATATCTTTTTGATTGGCATTTATCGAAAAATATGAAATTAATACCATTGATTTTTAAAATCATTCCCAGCGTGGAACAGCAGCTTTCAACATGTATTGGCAAGTGGTTCAGTGGATCACACGATCCGCCTGTGGGATTTGGACACTCGTCAACCAACTACAGTTATAAATTCATTCGAAGAAAAAGTGCAATGCTTGGACTGGCACAAGTTTGAAGGGCAAACCCTTTTAGCTGGTAGTTTGGCTTGCAACTGGAATTTTCCACCAATTTTCTAATTTCTAACTCTTTAAAGGCGGTTGTGACAAAACAGCGCGTGTCTTTGACTGTAGAACTCCAGATCAACATCAGACATGGAATTTACAGGGAGAGGCTGAAAGATTAATGTGGAACTCTTTACAGCCTTTCATGTTTTTAGCTGGCACCAGTACGGGTTATGTGGAGTGTTTTGATTGTCGCAAAGGTAAGAAACGGTTCTCCTGTTTGCAGCATGACGCAAAAACCTTTTTTTGTTTAAGGAAAATTGTGGTCTTTCGAAGCGCATACAAAAGAAGTTACAGGATTAGATATTAGTAGTCAATGTCCTGGCTTATTAGTCACAGCCTCGACAGAAACATTAAAAACATGGGACTTTTCGGATGAAAATATGCCCAAGTATGTGTTTTAAACACTTGAGAATATTTTTGTCCAATGTTACTCATAATTACCAAACACTATACCATTTTTCTCTGAAGGTTGGTGAACGAACGAGATTTTAATATTGGCAATATCCAATGTTTGGAATTGTGTCCAGACTCCCGATTTACAGTTGCAATGGGAGGCGATAAAAAAGGAAATTCCTTAATGGTGTTTAATATGCTAAATATTGATCCAGGTAAGTTCACATGTGCTAACTTGATGTTTTCTAATGAAAGCTTGTATTCGCAGTTAAACACTCGTTTGGTTCAAGGGAATTGGTTCGTTTGGAGCCCGAACATAGGTAACACGTCTGCTATTGATAATGACGAGTAAGATCCATTAATGTACGTACTTTAATTTCCTTAATAAATTGGACTACAAATGATCAGTAGCTTTCTTTTGCCCGAAGTATCACATATATACATCAAGATGAAGGATTCACCAAAGTATCTCAAAGTGCAACAAATACATTAAAAATTCAAGCAACGAATACATTAACAATTCAATATCGGTACTTTGTTGAGTAGTCTTTCGGGGATACTACCAGTCCTCGGCCTTTTCTCGCTCCCCTATAAACAGTTTCAACGATATCAATCATTTCCTGTTTGTCCTCAAGGGGCCAATTAATTTTGTTGTTATTGCCAGTTCCCAAATCAATCATAATGTGCTTGTTTCTGAAGAAGAACATCACCGTGCAGGGGTCATATAACTCGTACCTTAGATCAAATAACTGTTAGCTACATGTGTTACGTACATTCAAACATTGAACTTACATTTTGTTAAAATCTGGAACCTCAGTTATATCAACCAGATATATCACAGCAAAGTTCTTCACTTTCTCTGCAATGCTGTAGACCACTTCGTCCATCTTCATGCAAGAAGGGTCCCAATCATGGCCAAAGCGAATGACCTGGAAGGAAATGGTTTTAGGTATATAATGTATATTAAATGTCATATAATGTATTTTAAACTAGGACTTACTACTACTCGATCTTCTTCGGACAAAATGGCCTGGTCGACTTGCCATCCATTGTGCAAATGAGCTAACATATAAGACATTTTTGCTGTTTATCACTATATCACTTTTATCAATCAAAACAAACCAATAGTGTTGACCACAGATCACAGAGGTTTACTCTGTAATTTGTGCTGAAAACATGGAAACGTTAGTTACAGGTTACGGTTACACTGTTTATATCTTTGAATATAAAACTAACTTAGTTTTATATTCAAAGGTTTATATACTTGATGTGACACGCAAGCTAGTAAACATTAGGAAACAGAGCATAAATGTCCTAGGCTGTGACGTTGCTCGCGAATAATTTTGGACGTAATATTTCCAAAATTTAACTAATGTTGCAAAACTTGACAACATCGTAGCCACAAGAAGGATGACAGTCTGCAACGAAAATAGGAATGTCTTGTTCTGTAGTGTTGGACTTGGACATTGTGGACAGTGTCAATAATATCCTAAAATAAATAACAAATAGTTCTTGAAAATGCTCTGCTAAAATTATTTAACAAGTCCTTATTCGCATTGCGTAATTGTACTTAAGATGTATTACAAAAGTTTAATTTTTTGGCTTGTGCTTAACTTATACAAAAGAGGTATTTGGGCGAGTAATGTTGGATTTTCAGAAGAAACTAGAGCTAAGACGCCGCCTGTTCAAAGAAACCCCTCATCCAGTGATTTTCATGTATATACTGAGAGTGAGTTCGAGCATGTAATACGGGCATGTTACAAAGTCTAATTTAATATTCGTTTAGGCCAGCTTCATGCTTTCGACAGCTGCAGTTATGATGATTTTGCTTGCCTCTCAATGGCAGCCAGCGACAAACATGGCTTGGATTCAATAATTACTTTACACAAACAGCTTGATGATGATGAAGATGGAAACATTGATTATGCAGAGTCTGATGATGTACGTATACCTATTGCTTAACACATATATCTTAGTAAACAGACTACAAATTGCAAAAAGTTTCCAATAAAATAAAAACTTTATAGTCTGCCATTAACATTTTACTTCAAAGCAAACTCACTGATTTTAATTGATAGCTATTACGTTACAAATGCACAATATAATTTGAAATCCACTAGGTGTATAAATATTTACTTTGCCAAACTCATAGACAATGTGTATTTGATGACATTTGTTCCAATGCCAATTACTTGTTTCTTGATATTAATTGAATTCCACTATTAAACGGTCTATTTACAAACTTGCTTTCCACCTACATACGTGGCGTTCAATTCAAACCTGCTTTAAAACTCAGCGCTCGATTCTAACGATCTATTTTTTTACATTTAGTTTTTAAAAGAAGAGCTGAAATATCACTCGGGAACAGAAAAACGACAAAAGGCATTCCATCAAAATAATGATATGCATATCTCTGTAAAAGAGCTCTGGGAAGCATGGCTGAAATCAGAAGTGCACAATTGGACTGTCGAACAAACCACTGACTGGCTGATCAATAATGTTCATTTACCACAGTATGCACCTAACTTTTTATTGAACAAAGTTAAGGGAGCAAATCTCCCCAGGTAAGCTTGCAAGTTATCAAATGCAGGGTATTTTAAATGTTTTACTTGAAAATGCCACTTTTTACTGCCATAATTATTACCTACTCCTTACTGCCCCAAGAAAGAAAGGGCTTTTAGATATAGAACAAATCTACTACATCTTGCCATTAAATCATGAAAAGCAACTGATCTGACCCCTAAGTATTTACCTGAATAACCATGTGTTTTTGCTAATTAGTTCTTTTATTGTGTGGCTTTTTCAAAAATTAGTATTTAGGTCCATCCCAGTCAACCCCTTTCTGTAATAACCGCTCGCTTTATCATTATTTTATCTCAATTCGCGTTAATAAACAGGATATATTCTTACTTCAGTCATCGTTCTTGATGATTTTGCAACGTTAATATTAGTCAATGCATTTTGAGGTAGTAAAAATTTTCACAAACCTATTGCTTAAAATTCCTACATATCGTAACAAAACTATTGGGATCGAACTCAAACCTATAAGGACGAGTCATTCATCAACTTTTGACTAGGAAGCCGCCAAAAAGCTTAAATTTCGGAAATGATTCAAAATGTCTGATTCTTTTGAAATTCCTCGTTTTGCCAGCTTAAATTGATCAGCAATTCGTTGCCGTTTCAAGGAAAGAAACAAAGTTATTGGCAAACTTGAGCCTATAGAAGCAACTTCAAAAATTGCATGAAATGAATTCAAAATCGAAACGTTTTCCTCTTATGGAACGCTATTTTCTCTGTAAAGGTCCCTCGAAAGTGAATTTCCAACATCACTAATTTCTGCAAAAATACCTAAATGCCAAATTTTGGCTTGCATAACTAGGAATGAAAAAGAAATAATCTAAGCAATTTAAGAATCTCTTGGGAAGCGTTACAAATATCTCCAACGGCTGATTGTGTTTCGATTCTTTACATAAAATCGACTAGGTAGCAAATGACACCAGTATTAGTTTGCATAATACAATTTGTTAAAAAAGCGATAAACATGTAGCCAATTTTCCAGACATGCAATTATTAAAATATTGTGCTGCCATGTCAAAGTGGTTTAAACGAAACGGGTATCTGTTATAATGTGACTAGGTTGCATATTTGAATAGATTACTTATTGGGAGCAGTGTTAAGTGCTGATTTATTCCCTCAAGAACATATTTCAACCTCGGTTAATTTAGCAATGTTATTGAAAAATGAATGTGTTCTATTCAACTGTATAAATGCTGAAAAAAACCTTAGAAACTATTTTTTTATAATCTTACATGCTTTCCTTGTTTTTAGCAATACCCAATGATTGAACCGTCTCTTTAAATGCATTAGCGGTATTTAACATAATACTGCTATATTATTGATTACAAGATAACATTTATCTAAGCAAGGTTGGACCAAACTATTTTTCGTAGCCGTTCAATTAGTGACGATACTCTTCCTTCTTCAGCTGACGATGATATAATGTTGGAAACCTACTAAAGAAATTCGTACCACTAATAAAACGTGTTTGCTTGTTTCGGTTAATTTAAAAATTCGGTCTTATTTTATTTGGATTCCCAGCTGATTGATTTTACATACCCAAAATATTTTTATATACCTAATTTGCAGATTGGCGGTAAATAATGCCAACTACTTGGGCATATTGGGTATAAAAGATCCCATTCACAAGCAGAAAATCTCTCTCAAGGCCATGGACGTTGTTCTATTCGGACCACCAAAAGGTAACGTGATTCATTCCTAATTAAAAGCGGACAGGTCGACAACAATAATCAAATGCTATTAATCTCCCATTTCAATTTCCATACTTTAGTGGCTTGACATTATGCTTATTGGTACAGTTTTCATTTTATTTAACAACTTACTAGCGTTGCAAAGTGGTTTCAAATATTTGTTTGTTTCATTTCAGTGAACTTTTTGAAAATCAGATGGCTATAACTATAAATACCTAACATTTTACCATGCATAACCAATTTGAACAACGTGAATATTTTGTCTGCAGATGGAATAACGTGGAAAGACATCACATTAATTATATCGGCTGTTGTTGTGCTATTCGGCGGTTGGGTGGGTTATCAGCAAAACAAAAAATTCAAAACCCACATGAATCGCATGAATCGCGACATGGACAGTCTGCAAAACTCTGAACAGGCCTTGGAAAAACTACAGAAGCAGTTGGAGGAAGCCAAACAAGCAGAAGATGCCGCCAAATCAGAGAAACAAAATTTAGAAAAGATGCTACAGGACTCCAAAGGCGATATGACCAGCTTAACTAGTGCATACTCTGAAAGTGATGTTACGCATTACAAGGAAGAAATCAAGGTACTGATTAACCTGTTATTCCTCCTTGATGGGAATCTAGAAACCCATTTTTTTAGTCTCTAAAGACACAGCTTGAGTTGACACAGGCTGCCTTTAAGAACACTTGCTATCTAGCGCCGCCTGGTTTACAACAGTGGCTCCAATTAACTTACGAATTGGAACAGAAAAGCTATGACAAAAAAAAGATGTCCGCAGAAAAACAGCTCCAACAGGCCAGAGAGGCTGTAAGTCCCCATGAAACATATTTATTGTTCACCACTTTTTTATAAGCATCATTTCAGTGTGAGAAATTGAGGAAGAAAAGATCTAGTTTAATTGGTGCCTTTGTTTCTACTCATGGCAAAGCCATAGACGATGTGGATAGAGCCATAGTGGAGGCACGCAGTGCTTTAAACGAGGTGACGTACGAGCTGCAAGAAAAATCGCATCGCTGGCGCCAAATCGAGCTGATGTGTGGTTTCCCTATAACTGTTAACATCGGCCTGCAGACATTAGAAAATACATTGTATAAGAAACATGATAGATTTAATGGATTCAGCGGTAAGTGACAATGTTATTTGCCATTTGTACCGGATATTTACCAAAGTACCAACGAACCAAAGATACGTTTACCTGCATAATTTCAAAATTTAGTTTTAATTGTTTGTGATGATAATTTATTATAAACACCAGCAAGGAGTTGAAAATATGTGTTTCCTTGTTGTGTCCAATATGATTGGCGTGTTGTACTTACCGATTACACGGAGATTTGAAACGAGAAGTTGAGGGGCTGGCGCCGCTAATTGTCTTAAGCTTAAAAGCATAATTCTTATGGGCGGAGCCCACATATTTGCAATATAAAAAACTAGCATTAGTGAAACAAACTCGCATGAAGAAAGTTTGGAATAACGAGTGGATAATCATATATAAAAAATTTCTATTTCAGTTCGCATGAATAGCGTGGATGATCTCGACATGAATGACGATGCGGGATCAGTCTACGGACTAGGTAAGCAGGCATCATTTGAGGAAGAGTCGGAATAATACACATTTGATTTGTTTGAGTTGTACTTATGGGCCAAGTGAAAAGTAGCTGTTGCAAAAATAAATAACGTAATTTTTTATATTAAAGCTAAATATTCCGGTCTAATCAAGCAACTACACAGTTACTCTTCACGTGGTTAATCAAGTTGTACATAAGCACTTGTATTTTATTAAGTAATCCCAACTCCTCTATCCTACCAGATTTTAAGGTTTGCTTTAAGTTTTATTACCTTGCCTGTTCAATTGAACTATTCCGCATGCTTAAGCGATACTTGTTTTAGTTGTTAACTGCTTGGAAACATTACCAGATTCTATCAAACCGTTGCTTTTATGGTCGCCAGTCTTATATTGTAAAGTAGACTTTGGCTGTGATAAAAATAACCAGTCTGTTGCACTTGTAACTTTATTTCCTATTAATACACTAACATGGAATCTCTATATAATGGTTATCAAAACTAACTTAAGTTGCAACTTCTGCATTTCATAGTAAATAGTAGTAAGGTAACTGAAAATAGAGATCTGCCAATTAAGGACATCGTGTGATCTGATTATCTGTAGTTACATTCAAAAGAAAAATCAAATGACTACTATAACACTGCGAGGTAGAGCTATTTGTATAAATTATATTGTCGGATATTTTTAATGTACATAAATAGCCTTCAATAGCCCTTTTATATTTTTAGCTTATGCTTTTGCGTTATATTTACATCTGGGCCAGTACTAGATGTTAATAATCTGATTCTGATTTCTGATTCACCTGAGATGTTGTTAAAAATTAATTAGCGAGATAAACTTGGCGTTGCTTTCTAAATTAAATATTCGGCTTATATCAATTTGCTAAGGTTTTATTTACGAGCCGAGTTACAAATTATCGTATACCAAGTGCTGCTTGAATGTGTTGCATGTCTTGCTTGCTCCCTTACACAACCAGGAAAATCACTGAAGGAAAATGTACTCATTCTGCCCGAATATGACAAAAACCCGAACACTTAGGTTTATTTTGGCTTATTTGAGCTACATTTATGTAGTAAACTCGCGACCTCTAATTGCCCCAATAGCAATTCATTCAAGTACATTGTACAATTTTATCCTTTGCACTAGTAACAATGTTTACCACGAATATTTCGTAAATAGGCACTGTCAATTTCTTATCTAAATCGCCAATTTACTCTATTAAGTATTTAATTAATTTCGCAATGTTTTAACTGAAAACGAATGGACCAAAACTAAGCTTTTCACTAATTTACACAAAACCTGCACATTTTTAAAATTGTTAATTGTATTGCAAATTTCTCTTTTTACTCACTAATTTGTATTTTATTATTGTTATTAAATCATGACTGAAACGAATGAATAAAACGCATTTCAATCCCAGCTCGAACAAGCTTACTGCTATGCTTATGTTTGATAGCACTATTTTGGCCAAATAAAGAAAATATTTTCAAGTCTAAACAACATTCCGCGTTCAGCTAGTTTACAAACAGGTTTAAGCAAACTGTGGCCAATTAAAAAAATTCAGATAGTGTGGAACGCATCTGAAATAAGTAGACGAAAACACTCCTTAATCGAGTCCGATGGAAAATACTGCTGTGATAAGAGAGTAAAAATATCTAATTATCACTTTGCTCGCAACGTAATTAAAAGTTGGGATTCATTTGCGTTCTAATCCTTATGGTGAATCTTCTAAAAACCCTTTAAGGATATATTGCATGCCAAACCCTTCAAGTTCTTCGGGTTATTTTTTTGACGCTCTGTAACTTGCATTTTGGTCATTATTATTTTTATGTTTTATTTATGTACATGTATCTAAACATTATCAGACTATGAAGGCTTTCACGGCCGGTTAAATTAMATTTAGAAATGTTTTCCGGGCTTTGAAGCCGTGGTCTATCGGAATTTTTTCCTGACGTTTCGTCCACAACTGCGGTGGACATTTTCAAAGGCGATGAGGCAGTGGGCGAAGTGATTAGTCGGAAAGCACGGGAGATCACTTCGCCCACTGCCTCATCGAAGAAAATCAAAAAGAAAATCCGATAGACCACGGCTTCAAAGCCCGGAAAACATTTCTAAATTTAAATATCTAAACATTGTTTTTCCAATGCGCTATATTTTTAATTAATATCCTAGTTTGTGTAGTAATGTTCCCAGTTGTATTTAGATGAACAAATACAATAGTTACTGTATGCTTGGTTTCAATTTTGTCATTCCTACTTCTCTACAACAAATTTTATCGCGATTTTTTACGACTATTTAAACGTTAACCCTTTTGGCTTTAAAATGTAATGGTTTTATTTACCAAATACGAACATGTGCACGTTGAAATTACTTCCATTTTAGTTCAAATACATGGCAATAACTAATCGAGGCCATATTTGGAAGAAAATATTGCTTTTTTTTGTAAATCTGTAAATCTGCATTGGTTATCAGATGGAATTCTACATCGGGAATGCATGTACAATTGACTATTAATAGTTAATTTATCAAATTGTTCAATTATTGACAATAGCAACATTGTGTTTACCAATTAACAGGATATTCAACCGTTAGCGCACAATAAAACATTTGTTTAAATAAGTTAGTGTCAGTCGTACCGCAACGCTATTCCGTTTTAATTTTCTGTTTTAAATGAATCGTTTTAATAAATCGGATCTGTATAAAGTGCATTTTTATTGGTCAGCTCTATAAGGAGTGAAAACAAAGCCAAGCAGGGGTTTATTAGGTCAATTGGATTAGAATTGTTTGGATGCATATGTATACTTTGTTGCATACAAGTAGTAGTAGTAGTGTTCTTTAGCGATAGTGCTGATTGTAAAATATAGTGTCTGCAATGACGGATTATAGATGTGCTTTAAGTATACACTTGACTTCAGCTTGCTAGCTGATCGCAAAATATGCATTTAACATGCTTTTTAAATGTAGGTCGTTCGGAAAAAGCACTACAAAAAATTACCCGGTTTTACTTAATATTTTGGACCTTTACATGAATACATGCAACCACATACATACTTTTATGTGCACTTGACATTGGTGTTTTTAAAAACATAGATCTATAAGCAGAAACTGCTTTCTTTCCGCACTTGCAATATGATCTGTCGATATTCAATAACGGTTCCACAATTTCTTCCACTTTTGATTAAGTTTAATTTAATTGCATTTTTGCAGCCCCTTCTTCCTACTCAGAAATGCCCCTTCATCACATGGCATCCCTAAACGAAGATGAAACATCCGGAAGTGAAAACGGGAAACAAGATGAGAATGCCAATAATGAATCCAAGTCAAATGATTTCAGTTTCCAAATAGGTGGCACGTAAGTATTTTTATTTGATATGTACTTTAACTTTAAATCGATTTACATCATACTGTTTCATCTAGGCCTTTTCCTCAAGAAACTGCCAGTAGAACTAATTCCAATCTGATATCGAATCACACCAAATCAGCTAGTCAATCCAATATTAATGTAAAACCTATCGGACCAGGAAAATCTTTTACCAGGTCTTTGACTCAGGAGATGAACGTGGAAGAGATCTCTTTAGCAAAATCTGCGGCTTCAGAGGGCAATTTGGAATCAGCCAAAGCGCGTCCTGCCGCCATTCCTGAAAAAGCTTGTTTGCCGAAAAAGGCAATTTCTATCGAGGATGATATTTGCTCAACCGACTCCTCACTAATTGAAGATGGCGAGGTGAAAAAAAAGCGGCGCAAGTTGTTCACGTTTTCGAAGAAGAGCAAAAAGGGTGAAAAATCGTGAGCATGCTCTCTTAATTTCCTAGGGCCTAGTTAGTAGTTTTAAATGGTGCGAATAAATGTTGCTTCTCGATAAAACAAACAAGCTCATAATTTTGATAAAAACCTGTGTTTTTAGAAAGGCAATCAGTTTTGGTAGGATGACAATAACGCTATAAACTATAAGTTGAATTTTACTGACAAACATGGCACATTCCACTGAAATCCCGATTTAGTTTTTCAAACCAAAATTGCAAACATTCTAGAAACACAGTTACTATTTATGTGACAGCAATATAATACTTCCCTCAAGTGCTTTATCTGCATACATACGTTGCAGAGTCCAATCTAGCAATAAGTATTTGCTTGTGAAATGACAAATAAACAATTACTATTGAAAGCAAATATCAAAAGCTGTTAATAAGCAATTGAAGAACTTGTTAGTAAAAATCTTTGACGATAATACATATGTGAACAACTGAAAATATATGTTTATGGTGATATTTGATTATATGTGAATATTACGTAACAGGAGTGAGCACACTGGAATCTTCAAACAGATCTGAAAACTACATGACTTAAGACGGTTGTAATTTTTTTTAGGACTTGGGACTTAAGAATTTAATACTTAATAAACTATCTATTATGTCATTACATAAAATGATCGTTTATGTAAATCTTCAGTATATTACTGTAACTAAATTTCAACTGTATCAAAATACTGAAAATTACCAAATTTCAATAATTTAATTTACAATGTTTTATACATTTAACATGATTTATGTGTTAATTTTATGATTTATCATATCGAGATTGACAAAAAGTCACTGAAAATCCACTACTTTTAAATGAGCCGTTGACGAATTTTCGTTGTGTATGGATTGTTATTCGCGTTTATTATTCGTCACCGTAATTGTGGATTGTAAAACCCATTTCCACCAAATTTTGCTAGTTACAAAACAGTGTCCTCTTAACTGGGTTGTTAGGTCTTTTGCATTATATCACTTATTTCATCTGCTTCAGAGATTTGAATATGTATTCCATTATAAAGTAATTAATTTAATTTTAAAGTGATACAAGAAACCAATCAATTTGCTAAGTGTATAATACTGACTATAATAAATGATTGCACTTTGTAACTTATCTGCAATTAGTAAAAGTGATAACGCGGTTGTAACATAGAGAATATCCACACTTAAACTGATTTAGATAAATTCTTTAAATTCTCGTTGATAATAAGACATTTTTATTTAAAAAATCCCGTATTTTGTGCGAAAGGTGCGCTTTCTGATTTATTCGATAATGCTTAAAAGTTGCTTTTACGATTAATAGTCCAGTTTTTTCTTAATTTGCTATTATTAGCCAATTTCTGAATCCCCACTGTGTGAGTAGGTCTATGTATTGATTTTCGTTTAAACATGAATGCTTTGTTTGCAAAAATGTTTAATTTGTACTTCACATAGTGATACCCTTAACATGATATTTATATTGTGATACTAGTTATCTAACTTTAATCGAGGTGTAATCATTCGATCATGTATTTCTTAACATGTATATTTTTTTTGCTGAAAAATTACCTAAATTTCCTCATTTGAATTTTATTTTTAAAACGAGCGTTTTGTATATCACCATATTATCCTTGTAGGAAAAACTGAAAAATGTATGCATTTTGAAGAAATTCCCCAAAAAAGTTAATTTTAATTTTTTGAAAATTAATTTTGAATTACAAAATTTTTAGATAGGCCAATTAATATTATTTAAAATGCCAAAAATTTTATCAAAGTAAGTAATTTTTGTAATTAATTTAAGTTCGTAAAACTGGAAAAATATTCAATAAAGTGTATTTACCATTTAAAAACTTATTTTGAAACAAAATTCAACTTGATTCAACTAAAACTGCTGTACTATTAATGCCCAATGTGGCATCATGTACAGAGAAGAATAGAAATTTCCTGTCAAATAACTGTAGACAGTACACAGACAGTAGACACCAAAAACAACAAAAATAAAAGTAAATAGTTTGTAATTGATGAATTAAAGTAGGATGTCGGGCAAAGTTCCGGGTAACAATGATAAGAATAACGACTCAGACTCGGAAGAAAATAGTCGAGGACCTCCCCGGAGTCTTGCGTTAGATTTAGGGGACGATTGTGTGTATAATGTTGACGCCAATAGGTTAGAAACCCAACCAAATGCATCAGGTTGGTTTTTTCGTAACTATCTATGGACAACGATTTATTCCATGTTCTTATGAATGAATAGGGGCTACAGGAACACAGGAACGTTCGAATCCGCGAAGGGACGAAAACCCCTTTTCCTTTAGGCACTTTTTGAGGGATTGCTCGAATGGAAACAAAAACTACCAATCGCAAGGCGCTCGCCCCAAAGTTTATAGGTACTTATTTCACCAATTTTCTCCATGCGAGTAACTACATTTACTATTTGCTTTTAAGGGATGGCCGATCTAGGCATGTAACACCCCCTGAAAGCCCACAAAGATCCACTCAAAGGCCCAGGAAAATCGGAGAATTCAACTCAGCTTTGCCTGACTTTGTACAGGATCATCTAGTCATTGAACATTGTTTTTTGGGTGAGATCTAGTTATTACTCTACAGAGTCTTTGCCAACCTGTTACCTTAACATTCTATGAAATCTCCTAGTTGTTTATGAGATGTGTTTCCAGAGGTGAAAATATGATAATTTAATTCAACCTACTTTTGTCCGAGAGTTGAAGTAGCTTCAAAATTACATTTGTATATCAGTTCTTGCACTTTGAGCACAGGTAAACATTGAACTCGAACGAAATGACAACTTTTTGGATACCCTGTATACCGACTTTTAAAATCCCTAGGTTTATTCTCCTCTGCATTTACCCACAAAAAAAAATATTCCTGGCCAATGTCTCAACGATATGCAGTTTTCGAGATAATGTAAAAATGTGATATACATATTTTTTCCGAAGCCGAATCAAATCCAGCACGCAATGTACAAAAAACAACTGTAAATTATTTTATACAGGGTCATTAAATTTTTTGTGTTGATTTTAAAATACTGTAAAAGTATGTATTCAAGTTACCGCAGTTGCATCTTGATGCTTTTATATTTTATATATTGGATTTAATATGTTTTAGAAAGGAATAATAAATCTGCACCTACTTTTGACTTGAACTTGCCAGATTTTGCCCATGGAGACCAACGCATTCCTAGTGGCCCAAGTGTTTCCAGGTGATTATCTGAAAAATCAATAATACAATATAGAAATTGACTCCATATTTATTAGTGTAACAAATTGTGCTAAAACACCAACGTTTCATTTTCAGATCAAACTCCATAGAAGATCCCTCAATTGCACCAATTCCATTAGATTTACCGGGGCTATCAATGGGCAATGCTTTCCCTTTGGATCTACCTAGGGCCCCTAAACCAAAGGCCGCAGAATGCAGGGCCGTTCCTTTGGAAGAGGTTTTCCATTTATAATTCCGAATATTTGCCTGACATTTATCGTTAAATGTATTTAGGTGGGAAACTGTAAAAGTCTTCCAGACTTTCTAACAGACGGCCCAGTGCGAACTAATGCCGGCGCAGTCACTCCCTCACCAACAGATAGTGCAAGTGATAATTTACGAGAGCCATCCAGATGTGCCCGCTGCGTTGAATTAACATTCGAATTAACACGGTCGAGACAAAAACTTACTCGCTCTGAGGATGAAGTGGAAAGGAACTATGTAAGAACTTGCAACACTTGTCTAAGAATTTTCGCAATTCGAAGTATTTGTTTCTTGCAGAGGCGAGCGGTAGTTGCAGAAAATACTATGATGAGGCTGAAGCAGGAATTAAAGTCTGTGAAGGTAATATATTTAGCTGTAGATAAGTTCTATATTGTTGAGGCGGATTCATTTTTTACAAACTTCTTTTTGGGTATTTCGCCTCAAAAATTTTTGTCTTTAAAAAAGACAGAATTTCCTCACGTCTTTTATTACAGATTGATAAATAGTGCTCCTATTTCGCAATAAGAACGAATTATTTATCAAAAAGTAATCAAGAACTATCACCTAGAGGCTATCCTGCGACACACTTAGGCTCAAGCTGTAAGAGAAAATTCCAATTAGTAAAGAAATTAATTTGAAAAAATTACCTTGATGTTTAGATAGCTATTTTCTGCTATCGTTATCAAAAGAACCTAAATGAACCTAAAAAAGAGTATGTTAATAAATTGAAAGTAAAAAAAAACTTAAATGTCACATAACTGACAATTTGCACAGATGAATTATCAGAGCGAATTTTCATATACTGTATTATCCTACTATTGTTACACAATTTATTAACATACTCT